ATTTTACCGGTCATACACTTTTAGAGACAAATTTTTTTTTTACTGATTACGAAGTTCACTACACAAACCACGAGTGTTAAAGGCTCTGGGCCCATAACCTGTTGAAATGCAGATTATTCAGTAGCCAATTGCGTTAGCAAAACTTGTAAAATCGAAGAGATTAAAAAACTTCATTCACAGTGTTTGACATATATTTATTCAACAACATTTCTTGACAACCAAAAACAACAATGGTTACAAATCAAAGCTTTCTACAGAGATACATACAAATATAGTTTATAGATACATTGATTCAATTCTTAATATATTTCAACAAAAAATGTGAATTTCTCTGAGAATAAACTTTACAATAAATTAGAATTTAGGAAGAAATACATAATAGGTTTTTGTTAATTTAATAATTAGTGTTTTCACCTCTAGCCTCAATGCAAGCAGGAATTCGACGAGGCATGATTTTATTAAGTTATTTATTTCTTTTGGTTGAACTTTTTCCCACCACTCTAAAACTACTTCTACTAGTTGGTCTGCGTTGCCGTGTTGTTTTAACCTTATCCCTTAAGTTCTTAATTGGATTAAGATCCGGTGAACAAGAAGGCCACTCTAAAACAGTCACACAGTTTTTAACAACTCTGCTTATCATCAGTGGGGCTTGGTCAATAATAATTTGAATCGATTAAAGAATCAAACTAAAAAATTAGTGATTATTTTAGTTATGACTAAATCAATCACGATTAAAAATTTAATTTAGATAACGCCAAAGTTTTAAAATTAATAAAAATTTGGGTGAAGTTTATGCTTAATCCGTTAAATGATTATTTCAAATCACAAAACCTAAGTTTCAAATGTGACATTTCAAATATGACATTTTTTAAAGATAAAAAGAGTGTCTTCTCTATAATCGAAAAACTATTATTGTAATTGAGGAGCATCCGTGCAAAACCGGCTATATCCACTTTAATAAAATGTTGGGAAAATGGCAAAAACTCTCGGTTTCCTGACCTTTACAGATAAAAAAAAGCAAACTTGAGTTTTGTGGGCTTTATGGTACTTGATACTTTCATTTTCAAAAACTTTATATTAAGGCCAAAATTTCAAAAAATGTTTTGTATAGGTATAGCCGGTTTTCCTCAAAAACCTACGAATAAAATGTGAAAAAACCTTTATTATTCAAAAATATTAACAAAATAAATTTAGTGAAAACATGAAAAAAAGAACAAATTTTAGTAGTAGTATCGACATATCCAAGCCACATGCTCATCATCATTATTATTTATTGGATATAGCCGGGATGGCTATAAATACGTGGATTTGGCCGGTTTTGCTACCTTTTAAATGTGATTTTTACATGGATATAGTAGATTTAAACCGAATTATCTTGGTTGTCGATAGAAATTAACCCAAAGATGCGAAATCAAAAAAAAACTAAAATGGATTTAGCCGGTTTTGCACGGATGCTCCTCAATTATCAGTGGCGGATTTACAAATTTTCAAGGTATAGGCTGAATAGTTTTTGCCGCCCTTGCCTCAACAATTGTCATATCATACATTATTTTTACAATGCAACAATTTCGTTGAAATTGCACGTAAAATAATTTTTCGGTATATTTTTGAGCTAATCGAAGCTCAATCAATGTATACTAGGTTGCCTAATTTTGTGATTTTTAACATGCGCGAATAAAGATCAAACAGACTTTGTTGTGTGGATTGTGGGGTAACCCACACGGTTATTGGAATAGAGAAAGAAGCTCGCCACGTGAACGTGCAACATTGACAACATTGTAGCATTAAAAAAATACCGCGTTCGGGGAAAAAATATTTTTTTTGACTTAAGACTATCTCGCTATTACTGTTCAAGATTTTTTTTGAATTCCAATCGAATTTTCTGAAGCTACTAGTGCATGTGAAACACATAATAGTCGATACATAAAATTGAAATCGGTAAAATTATTCATTATATTCGAATAAAAATCGAAAAATTATATACAAACCATCCAGTTCGTAGCCTCCAACCAGTAGTAAGACTGGCATGCATGGGTTGTTAGTGGGAAGAGGGGCATATTTTTTACAATTTCGCTCTTTTCACTCATAAGAAGTGTGGGCAAAGGGTGCAGAGGCGAGAGGCCGATTACTGGTTGAGGGGCGGCGAACTAGCTGTTTTACTCTAGAATATGGAAGTTTGCTACTCTCGGAATGTGCAATGACAAGTGAGAGAGAAAGGTCATCGACAAAATTTGTTGCAGACTTCTATCTGTAAGACATCAGAAAACCGTCATAGAAAAATCTTTTTGATTTCTATGAGGTAAAAAAAAAATCGTTCCCCAAATTTGCCGCCCTAGGCTCGAGCCTACTCAGCCTGCTGGTAAATCCGCCACTGTCAATTATTACATAATTGTGAAAATGCCTAAAACTCGTAGTAAAAGTGAGTAAAATATTAAAGAAAATATAAATAATAAAGATCCAAGTATTAATGAAGAGTCCAGAAGTTTGATGATAAGTATAAAAACACAATGCTTATTTTTGTCATCCCGAAAACATTTTATTAGCTATGCTAGCTGATAACCGAACGTATATTCGAAAATATTGTTTGAGCGTATATTGAAGTGCAGATGCCAAGATAACAATCACGGAATTCGAATACCTAATTTGAACCAATGCCGCAGACTATATCGACTTAATAGACTTAATGGACTGGAAAACAATGACTACAAGACTTATAGTATAAGTGAACCACCACTAACAAGACAAATGTCAAATGAGACGTTGCAAATGATGATTTTGGATGTATGATACATCCAAAATTATCATGTATCTGAGACAATCGACATAGCAAAATATCCCCTGTATCAAGTTGGTGACAGAAGCTTCGGGTTCAGTTAGCGGACGAGAATCAAGAGATGGATTCATACATGCAAGAATCACACCTTGACAAAGTTTACCGCAGTTTGAAACTGTTGTGTCTTGTTATTAATAGTTAAAGACAATATTTAGAACGAATTGTTTATTGGCATAAACGTTTTTACAGACATACCTTAATTTATTTGTCACAATTTACTTATGTTGTTGCTGACATTTTGTGTTGCCAATCACAACATCTCCCTTTCTTGGAAATTGTACTTAAATTTAAAAATAAGACAATATTCGTAATTTATTACATAACATAATCTTTAAACTTAGTTGGTAATTGGACAGTACGACCACTGTGTGTGATCCTTTGATTAACAGTAAAATCAGACTTTGGGTCTTTCTTAGAATCTATCAACATTGTTTTAAATATTAGTAGTGTCAAGCAAAGTACTTTCAGGAGTGTTATCAGAAGACTGATTAATCTGAGTTTGATCATGATCATCTGGACAATTTAATGAATTATTAATTTCAAATTTTGTATTAGTTGGTTTTAAGTTATTAGAAGAAACTTTAGTCAGCTAAAGTTTCTTCTAATAACTTTACACTTATTATTCATGACAGTGAAAGATCTAGGAGTAAAATGATTATCAACCACTTGCCCTTTTTCCCAAAATTTGTCCTTGATAAGAAGATTATCAGATTATTAGATTCAAATTCTGATTAAAATTTTTTGCACCTCTGTCGTGATTGCGTTTAAAATATGCCTGTTTATCTACAAGTCTATTATGTGCATTTTTAGGAATTGCCGGTTTTAACAATTCTGTATGAATTGGAAGTTTTGTTCTAGTTAGTCTATTCATTAACATTTGGGTTGGGGATATACCAATACCAGAAACAGGAGTATACCTAAATTCCAGTAATGCCAGGTGGATATCAATATTGTTATGAGAGCATTTCTTAAACATTTGTTTAGCCGTTTGAACTGCACGTTCGGCCTGACCATTACTACGTGGATATTTAGGAGAACTCGTACAAAATTCAAAATTCCAATGTTTGGAAACATTTTTACATTCATAAGAAAAAGGCATATTATCACAGTCAGTGGCGTAATAAGCACCCCCCCCAGACCCTGCACCGCGGGGTGGCCCAGACGGTCAGGGGGCCCAAGGCTCACCTTGCCTGCTGTTGGCTGCCAGGGCCTCATTATGGGTCAGCTATAAAAGTTTAAATAAATAAATTAAAGAAATATTGCAGATACAGCCATTTTTCTTACCTAATCCTTTTTTATTTGCTTATCTTATGTTCGTCTATCGTCTACCTGTCAAAAATTTTAATTTAAAAAATAACCAATGTGGGTTTAAAATTACTATGATAAACTAATTTAAAAATTACCTACGGGTAATAATAAACTTTTTACTCATTGTAAAGGGGGGAATTAAAATCGTGTACAACAAGATAGCTGTTTCCACCAAATTCCATTATACCACAAGCTATTTTATGGAAAGGTACATTTGGTATCTCATGGGGAATCAATATATCATTTTGTTTGGAGTTTTGATAACGCTTGCAAACATAACAATTAGATATGATATTTTAAATATTACTTGACATGCCCGGCCAAAATACAATTTCCCTAGCACGTTGTTTTGTCTTAACAATACCAAAATGAGGTTCATGAAGGAGACGTAAAATATAGGATCTGAGTTTATCTGGGACTACCAAGCAGTGGTTAAATTCTTTGATATTTTTTAATAGGTTTTAACCGATTTTTGTTTTCCAATCTTTAGATCCCATAATAAAAGGCATGTAATTACGCAACTTTTGAACCGTACCTTCCATCTATAACCGTTTCCGAGATAGCAATGCTATCCCATCACATTTTGGACACCCTATATATATATATATATATATATATATTTCAAAATCATATAATAATTTTCATCAACTGAGCTCAATATGCACACGAGATGATGTATCATATGAACGTTACATAAGAATGATTTTTATCTACTTCTACATTAAGCCGAAGTTTTGGCCGAAACCGAAATTTCGGTCGGTCACTAATTTATATTATACCATTGAGTAAAGACACTTTACTCAATGATTATACGTTTATTAACTGTACCAACGATATACATTTGCATTGTTTTTTTCAGATTAAAATATGTCTGTCCTCAACAAATTAAGTATTTGCGGCGTACGAAGTTTCAGTCCCAATGAAAACGAACAGATCGTATTTACTACTCCTGTTACTTTATTTTTGGGTCAAAATGGTTGTGGTAAAACTACCATAATCGAATCCATTAAATATGCATGCACCGGGGAACTACCCTCCGGAAGCAAAGGAGGAAGTGGGTTTCTGAATAATCCCAATCTAACCAATCAGCAATCTATTAAAGGAAACGTCAAAATTAAGTTTTTCGATCGACACGGAAACGAAATTACCATTGGCCGGTAAGTTTACTTAAGGTGTTACACTCGTCACTCCAAAATTAAAGACTAGCAGCAGGAAAAATAGTAATTCCTGTAACAAGAATATATAGCGATACTTTTTGCACGTATAGTGCAAAAAAGTGTCTTTATATTCGAGTCGCTTTTTCTAATACCATAATAATTTCATAAATAATTAAAAGAGCAAGTAGATAAAGGGGTAGGTAACATTTTAAATAATAAAGAACAAACAATATTGTAATAGCAAATATATTTTTAATTAGGTACAACAAAAATATTGTTTGTCCTTTATTATTAAAATTGTTAATCATTTATCCACTTGCAAAATGTTGACATTTACAATTGAAGAAACAAGTAAAGTCAAACCGTCGTTTGACCCTGCGTGTTGAGGCACTGTCTGTTTTTTATGAATTGATAGGGGCTTATGTGAAAAGCATAAAATCAAATTTGCACCACCTAACAATTTATTTTACAAAATACCTTTTTTCAGTTTTTAGTGAATATCTTGGCCCCTGTATACTCCAGAATAAAAGTAAAAATTCAAATTATATTTTATAAAATTTTCTATAATTTTTATCTAATGTGTTTTTTGTTTATAAAAATAAGTAAAAAAATATAGTTTTCTTACTACCTCGACTCAAAATACGTTGTTTCGTCCCCGATTTCACGGCAGAAAGTTTACGTTTCTTGCATTGGTCAAGCTATACGCGCACACTCTAATAGCGGGAGTAAAAAATTTTTAGTCGTGTCCTTAACATTCAAATTTCGTACTGCCAACATGAGAAACACAAAAATATGACAGTTTTAAACCATAATTTTGCAATTATAACAACAAATAAACAATTTATGTTTTTACTTTTTTACTTTTTATGTTGTTTTAAGTGTTTAATGGTACTTTTATTTGTTATAAAGTAGTAATTTGTTAATTAAAATACAACCTTTTATTTTTACTGTATTGGCACCGCTGAATTACCATGACAACGCTACAGTTTGATTGATTTTGAATGTAAACGTCAGAATTAAATTAAACGTCAGATTTTAATTTTGACACAAGTTTTTTTATATACATTTAATTTTTTCCCGTATTTTCTGCGGGGTAGCAAGAAAAATAGTATACACTACACGGGCAGAAAGTGTGAGAGGCCTGAACTGCGCGCCATGATGCCCTCGGCTTCGCCTTGGGCATCATGGCGCGCAGTGCAGGAATCTCACACTTTCTGCCCTTGTAGTGTAATATACTATTGTTGAATTAAAAATTTTGTTTTTTTTTCTTTACTTTTTTGCAAATATTTCACAAACTGTGCATTTTACGGTAAACTATTACGATAAACATTTTGTAGCCCTATTAATTTTTAAAAATATAAAAAATTGAATTTGATGCGACTAACAAGAGGCGACCAATCCACGAGATTTTGAACATATTCCCTTCTTTACAAACTACAAAATATTTTAAACCAGCATTTCAAAAGCTGCTTGCTGCGCCGCATTGATTCGTACATCATCACGAAATGTTGTCGACCAGTGATTAATCATCACATAGAAGAAATAAATATATTTTGACGTGAATTAGACCTACAGGAAATACCGCAATAAAAAAACGAGCCTGAGGCTCTTCCTCTAAAGTAGTGAGAAAAAGCGTTCTTGTGGGTGTACGAGCGCGGTCATGTTCACTCGAGGCTCTCGTTAGTCGCATCAAGCTCTATTTTTTTTTGAAATTGTAGAATAATAAAAGATTTAACATAATGTTAATCATAATAATTTTTTATAAAGCGAAATATTTGGAAAAAGTAAAAAAAAACAAAAGATAAAAGATAAAACAAGTTTTTCATTTTAACTAACTATATTTTTTTTCTCTTTTGTTTGAACAAAAATTATTGGAAATTTTATAAAAAATAATTTTGCTATTTTACTTTTTATTGTGCAATATCCGGGGAACGAGCTATTCGTTAAAAACTAAACGATTGTATTTTGTATAGGGTTTTGCCTGGTCAATTGACCGCGGTCAATTGACCGAGTTTTACCTCTTTTGACAGGAGGCATTTTGACCATGTCAAAATCGGTCAAAAACTTTTAATTCAACCGCGCGCGGCGGCGGCGCTACCTAGCGGAAAATATCAAAAGTATTAAAAAAATATTCGGTAGTGGACCATGGTGCAATCATAATAATGCATTTTTGACTAATTAATTTTAAGAGAGTAAAGACAATGGCGAGGGTGGGTTCAGTGAAGAGGTTGATGTGCCGTTATCTACACATGCTAGCACCGTGTTGTCGGTTTTTGGTTCTTAAAAGAATGTCATATACCATCTTCAGGTCTTATCTTCTGGGCTGCTGTTGCTGCTCTGCTGTGAGCTAGACGTACCCAAGCAGCATTTTTGGTTCCAAAAACCATTGCCAAAGTGGTGATAACTTTAAATTAGTTAAGTATACTAAACAGCTACTTTAATTTTTACTTAAAAGTAATTCTAACTTTTAAATAGCAATATTTTGTAACAGAAACTTAATTTTTCCTTAAATTGTTACTATAAAGTAATAAACATTTAAGTAAAACTTGGTTGCCCCCAAGAAGACTTTGCAACTTTAAAAAAGATGTTATAAGTAAAAAAAACTTTCAAGTAAATTTAATTTGTAGCAGTTACTTTCGGTTGCTACCTAAAGATTACATTATAATTATTTTTACTTTGTAGTCCCTTTGCAAGTTAAAATCTCGAAACTGGAACATGAGTTAAAAACTACAAAGTTAATAACTTAAAAGTTATTATTTTAGTATTTGGAACGTTTATGGTACTAACCAAAACAACCGTAAAGTGGAAAAAAACTTTAAAGTAGCTAAAACTACTTCAAAGGAAAATGCTTCTTATCGGCCATTTTTTACTGTACAGTACCACGTGCACAGCAAACGGAAAATTATAGAGGTGTATAGGATGACGCCACGTTTGAATATCGTTTTCTAAATCTCCCTACGGTATAGAGTTGTATTCGTCAGTCGAGCGTTTCAATACTCTCCACAGTATAGAGGTCGTAATTTCACTTTTGAACTAGTATTAATATAAAAATTATTTTATGCTTAAAAAAAACTATATACGACATGATTGTGATTTTTTTTCATTTTATTAATTAATTAAGCTGTGTTGAATATTTTTCCTAAAGGAATAATTGCCAATGGGCCATTAATTCATTTGTTCGTAGATGCTACAATAACCTGCACTGGTGTGTACTTTTTCATCAACCAGATTTAAATATTACAAAACTAACATATACCAGTGGAGATAGTACAGGGTCTACCAACAGACCTAATTACTAAATTATTAAAGTTTAATACCATATCGATCAGTTTTTCAACATAACCTCTGAAATTTTTAATACAAATATAGGTACTTTATATAATACATAAATATACTTAACATCATATCCTCTGTGCTTTACATACCTGAGTTGTTACGGTAAATAAAAATCAGACAAAGGAACCAAAGAAAGGAACTATTTTCAACAAAATCATATGCAGAAATGAAAAAATTCAAACTACTTGCATCCATAAAAAGATCAAAACTTCTTTCAATATTACACCCTCTTTTTATACTCTCAGAAATATTGACTAGAACAGTATTAGAGAGACTCCAGTTTCTATAACTTGGTAGAGTAAAGAGAAGTCGAAACCGTTGCGATATTGCATTGCGCTGTTTTTGTACAATTCTCGGGGACATTAACGAAAATCATTGCCAGTAAAATTCGAAAAGCTTGAGTTTCTATGTCTCTGAGGAGAATAGGAATCCGAAGTTGTTGCACCATTGGACTGAACCCTTTTTTAATAATTTCTAGAGACATAAAGACTGCACCATTCAACAGGGTCGAGTTTCTACTCCTCTGTTGAATATAGAAAATCAAAATAATGTATCTTGTAAGACACCATTGAGTTTGACTTTAAATATGGTCGTGCATAGGTATAGAGCCGAAAAATATAAAAACAAAGCACGATTCAATACAGTTATGATAAAACTTTAAGATTTGATATTCAAACGCGGAGTCATCCTATACACTTCTATAATTTTCCGTTTGCTGTGTGGTAATGTAAATAATAAATTATTTTAATTGTTTGTAAATGGTTGTTTACTTTTTAATAAATAGAAATATTGTTGGTAATAGACGGTATTAATAATTAAATAAAAAAAATAATAATAAATATTAAGATTTTTTTATTTATAACCATTACTAAATAAATAATTTGTTTATACTTAAATATTGATGAAGCGCATTTATTTTACAAAAACTAAATTCATAAGTTCAACAGTAAAATTTAAAGGGTTTATAAATCTACCTGTCTAATTAAACATTATATTGTTATTCTGGAAGTTATAAACTACCAGTACCTACATATTTAATAAACGACGACATTGAAAAGCCAAGTCCGTAGTGGTTCCATTTAAAAAAGGAGGGATAGTATAATCTAATATAAGTTTGACAAAGACAGTTAATATAGAAGTAAAAACAAATAATAAAAGTAATTATAACGCTCTAGCAACGATATTGGAACGTTCTAGTAACGTAGCAGCTACGTCCCAAATAGTAGCAGGGTTGGTAGCTAGTGACATATTTGCTACCTTTTTGGAACTCAATAATTGTTCCCCACTTTAGTCGTAACGTAGTAATGAAAGAGTAATATAAAGAGACCGGCGACTGTCGCAAAACACTTTGAAGTTTCTTCAATAGTCCCATATACGTAACAAATACTTAAATTGTTGCTTGGGTAAATGTTCTTAAAAACAATGACATTACGAATGTTTTTTTGACTAGTCAATTGACCACAAAAGATTTTGACCGGTCAAAATCCCAACCCTAATTTTGTAAGAAAAAATGGTAAGGTTGTGCAAATTAGGTTTTAAGCTTTTCAAATAAGCCCCTATTAATTCATGAAAAAAAAACCTATTAATTCATGAAAAAAAACAGACAGTGTCTTAGCACGCAAGGTCAGGCCATTTATTACAACGGTTTGACTGGACTAATTAACTAAAGTTTTTGCTATATACAAAAATCTGGATACTTGTTTCAATGTTTGCATTAACCAACATGCAGAGCACGTTCAATTTTCACTTTATGAGAAAATTTAAAACAAAATTGGACTCTAAACAACCCAATTAACTTATTTTCATGCTAAAATGCACTTGTACCCGTTTGCTTCTTACCCCTTCAATTATTTTATTTTAAGTTAAAAATTTTGACATGTATGTTAGAACTCTTTTAAAATTTATTTACGCCCTCAGGAAAAACATTTTATTGTTTGTATTAATATTAATACAATAAAAATTTAATCCATTATTTCTAGAATAAAAATTAATTTAAATTAGGTTGTACCTATTTTGTGCAGTGTAAACGTAAGGAAAGTTTCCCTTTTACCCACGCTTACTTTCCGCACGCCCGACTATTTTGCACTGTTTAAAATGACCTACTTTTTAAAAAAGTTATTATAATTATATTTTCGTTATGTTCATGAGTTTTCCTATCAAAATAAACACGGCATTATTATAAAAAAATTAATATTTATTATTAAAAAAGAAATTCTTCTAAAAAGTATCATTCTCATGACGGCTAGGTGTAACCCCGTAATCCTCTTTTTTTTAAGAAATAACTTTTTTTTTTAGATTTATGCAAGTAGTACTAAGGGACAACAAAGAAACGTTTAAAACTCTTGTGCCACAGATAAAAATAGAGAAGCCAGATGGAACCAAGCAAGATGTAAGCGGGCGTATTAGGGACGTTTCAGATTATTGCACCCAAGCGTTGAATGTTTCGGCGCCCATTTTAAACCACGTTCTATTCTGTCACCAAGAACAATCATCTTGGCCTCTCGAAGAACCCAAAAAACTAAAAGAACGCTTTGATGAAATATTTGATGCTGCAAAGTACAACAAATGCGTGGACAGTTTGAGGAAACTGCAAAGAAAAAAGGAAGCTGATATTAAAATGATAAAGAATGATTTGGATCACCTGCAAATAAACAAAAATCGTGCTGATGATCTAAATCACAAAATAAATGATCGCACGACAAAACTGAGCAATATTGAAAACAATATAACTAGTAAAAAGGAATCATTAATACCAATAGAAAATCGTATAAAGGAAATTTATGAGCTTGAAGGCACACTCAGTGACTTGCAAAGGGAACTGACCGCTTTAGAAGAGCAAAAAAAAGGTCTGGTGGAACAACAAAAAAATATTAAAAAACATATTTCTTTTGTGTGTGATGGCACCGATGAGGATCTGAAACAACAAATTCAACAATTTGAGGCTAACACTGAAAATAAAAATGATTTAATTATAAAACTTCAACAGAAAATCACTGACATCGATGAAAAAACTCATCAGCTGCGAGAAAAAGTCCAAATAATTCAAATAAAAATCGGCCAATTCAAAGAAGAGCAACGACAGCAATTAAGTAGGCTCCAAGAACGTAAAAATCTTATCCAAACAGCCACCAAACACTTTAAAAATCAAGATTGCAGCGATACCGACACGCTTAAACATGACGTTATAAATGAGTTTAAAGTGGCGCTGGACGCCAGCCAAGTGGCCCTTGAAGATCTAGTCATGGAGATAGAAGCCAAAGAGCAAGAATTGCAAGTGAACATCAATCAATTAATTGAGAACCACTCCAAAACCAAACAGGATATCGTTTCTAAGAATAACATTGTTGTTGAATGCCAAAGAAGAATTGACGAATGTAAAATAAAATTGGCAAGTATGGATGTTAAAAATAACAAGATGAAAAAGTTAAGCAAAGATTTGGAGGAAACCCAACAAGCCCTCCTTAACCTGACCAATTCGCTCGATGAAAATAAAATCAAAAAAGAAATTGAAGATTCAAATGAGGAAATCAAAAAAGTGGGGAAACATTTGGAAAAACTTGAACAGGATTATAAGGTTTTAATGGAGAATCACGCAACAGAGGAAATGATTGAAAATGAAAAAACATCGATTATAGAAAAGACATCAAAGATTAATCAATTAAAAAATAAACATTGCGAAGATTTTTTTAATTTGTTCGATGACGAACTGCCCAATAATGAATTATCTCCTAAAATTGAAGAATTATTAGAAACAAATGAATCCAAAGTAAAAAATCTGAGCAAAAGCATAAGTGTTATCCAAAAGAAAGTTAACACATTAGAGATTGAAATTAAAAACAAGAAAAGGGAGATTCAACAAACTGAATTAAAAGTATCAGAGAAACAAGATAAAATCAAAAAAGTTTGTAAAGAAAAGCCAATAAATGAATTACTTCAAGAAACAGAAAGAAAAAAGGAACACTTGCAAAGGCAAAAGGGAACACTTAGTTCAACAAAAGTTATGTATGAATCTTATATAAAACAATTTGAAGAAGAAAGTCCTTGCTGTCCAGTTTGCAACACAAATTTTGCTCAAAAAAACAACGTTATCAAAGGTATCATCGAATCCCTTAAAAAACAGATAGAGTGCAGTCCCCAAAATTTAGCTGACTGCGAAAAAAAACTACAAGTACAAGAAGAAATGTTTAACAAACTTCAACAGCTCAAACCTTTGAATTACGAAATTGAACTCTTGACCACTAAAACTTTACCGGATTTGAAAAAAGATTTAAGCCAATTTAACAATGAGCTAAAGCTTTTAAATATAGAGCTTACAACTAAAACTGCGGAACTGCAAGAACCTGAAAAAACCGTAACACATTGTAGAAAAGTTCAAAGAGATGTTGCGCTTATCGACCAATATCGGTTTGATATCAAGGAATCTGAAAGTAGTATACTCGGTTTAGAACGAAATATTGTATTTGTCTCCACCAAAAAGTCCCGACACGAAACCGAATCCGAAATTTTAGAAATCAAGGACCAAATAAATAATTTGAAACACACAAGTGAGACAAATAACAAGAAATTGGATATGCACAAAAAACGATGCCAGGAACTAAGAATTAAAAAAGAAAAAAACATGGAAGACAAAATAATTTTGCAACGAGACCTTCAAGAAGGTCCACACCTTGAAAAACAAAAAGCTGAAAATGAAAAAAACCTAAATAACGCACAGGTATGTATAAAGCAGTTAAACATAAAAGAAAAAGAGCTAAAGGGCGAACTTGACGCTGCCTGTAATGAGAAAAAAGAAACAGTAAGAAAAAATAAACAGATCACCAAAGAGGCAAACGACAAGTTTAACCAAAGTCGAAAAATAATCGAAGACCTCGAAAAACTTCAAGGTCAAATAGATAATTATCTAAGAAATAATAATGAGGAAAAATTAAAAATGGAAAACGATAAATTAGAAAAAGTTCAAAGTAAAGAACAAGAGTTAAATGAAAAGAAAAATGAATTATTAACCCTTATAACAAAAACAAAAGAGGATTTGGCCAAACAGGAAAGTACCTTTAGAGCATTGCGCGATAATATTTTATTAAGAGAAAAACAAGTACAGGAGAAAGGATTAGAGTCTAAAATTAATGAACAAAAAACCAAAATTGGAGTCCACAATTACACATCACTATTTGAAGAAAAACAACAACTTTTGAAAAAAGAAAAAAATATATCGCGAGAAATAAATAACATAGAAGGGGAAAAAGAAGCTATTGAAAAAGAAGTTAAAGATTATAAAAAGGAACAACAAAAGCCAATAAATAAAAACGCTTATAAAGATTATAAAAAAAAATTATTCGAACATTTTATTGAACAGAATCAGAATCGCGATTTGCAAAAGTACACGGTAGCGCTGGAAAAGTCAATACTTCGTTTTCACAAAGATAGAATGGTTCATATTAACAAGGTGATAAGAGAGTTGTGGCGGGCCATATATCGCGGAAACGATATCGATTACATTGAAATAAAAACCGAAGATGATATTGGTTCTGCTCAAAAAAGAACCTATCAATACAAGGTGGTGCAGGTGAAGAAGGGCGTTGAAATCGACATGAGAACGCGGTGCAGTGCCGGACAACGGGTGCTGGCATCTTTGGTAATCAGGATGGCCTTGGCGGAAACATTCTCATCGCATTGTGGTATTTTGGCTCTTGATGAACCGACAACCAATTTGGACAGACAAAATATTTTAAGTTTAAGTGATGCTCTTGTCAGTTTAATTGATTCAAGGAAAGATGAAAAGAACTTTCAATTGTTAATTATCACACATGATGAAGAATTTTTAAATACTTTGACTAGAGTTCAAAGTATTCCACACTTCTGGAAAGTTTCCAGAAATGATGAAGGGTTCTCTATTATAAAGAAAGTTTCCATTTAGATTGTTAATATAATACACGTTTTTTATAAATTATTTTTTTTAAATAAAATAAAAGTTAATATTCTAAGGATCTTATTATTTTAGATTACAGTAAGTAAAATCAATATTAATATATAGTCGTCGCGGCGAATGTTTCAAATCATCATCAATGTCGAATGTCGAAAACCGATTTCTCGACATACGGTTAACCTAGCGGTTAAACTATAGTTGTTTCAAATTACGTCATCAAATTCTGAACCAAGCACAGACATTACAATTATTCTTGTTTTCTTTTACGTATGAGCCATTCCATGCCAAATCAACACACTTTAAAAAAATTTTTCCTCACCATTTCAGATTTTCCTAAAATTTGGTATACTTATACTATGTACTAAGACTAAGAAAAATACCAATTTTTAAATTTTTATCTCACACCGTTTCCGATATATGGCTATGTAAAGTTTTTAAAAACTCGCGAAAAAAGTGTGAACGTTTATTTTTTAAATTGCGCTGGAAGCTGTCCTAATTTAGTTAGAAAGCTGGGAGAGGTGTCATTTTGCAGCATTTTAAATGCTCTTTCAAATGACATACGACTGCCAAGGGTATTAATGAAAAGATTTTGTTCAAAATCCATATATATATTTTGATTTAATTTTTTTTTTAAAAGTACATAATTTAAAATTCTCAAAATATTTGTATAAATACTTGGTAGTGTTCTGAATCATATAATAAAATATTAATGTGGGGTCTTAATGGGTTCATTGTTAAAAAAAAAATATTTCTGATGCTGGTTTTTCACTTTTAACTAATTTTGACATTATTCAACGTTTATCAGGCTTAAGCCTGACAATTGTATTTTTTTTATAATATCGGCTGTCATCATTCCCGACTTGTGTAATTTAATTACTGTGATACGCTTATTTTGGCGATTCATATTGAACTAAATTTTAAACAAAACAACATAAAATGAATATTTTCAAAAATATAAGGGTTCTAAGAACCCTAATAATATCGGCTGCCTACATTCCCGACTTTTTTAATTCAATTACTGTGATACGCTTTTTTTGGCGATTCATATTGAACTAAATTTTAAACAGAACAACATAAAATGAATATTTTCAGAATTGAAAGGGTTCTAGGAACCTGCTCGAGCAAACAATTTCCGCGAAAACCTTATTGATAAATTTTAAACTCGCTTAAAAAAAATTCAGGGAACTTTTATCGGACCCTGTATATATTCGTAGTTTATTTAAAAATAAAACTATAAATGAGGTGTGTTTAAAGTGATTTTGGTGTCAACATGGAGCCTACTATTGTATACAATTATAATAGTGCAGTGTTATAATCCAATGAAAAAAACAAATCATTTTATTAGAGACAGAAAAAAACTGAGAAACGTCCCAGCATGGATGACTGGATTATTTCCACAAATGCCTATTGGCTCCATGATTTGTCATACCTGCAGGAAAGATGTAACGAAACTGTCAAAATTAGTTAAGTGAAAAACCAGCATAACAAATATTTTTTTTTAACATGAACCCATTAAGACCCCACATTTATATTTTACTATATGGTTTAAAACAGTACTAAGTATTTATACAAATATTTTGAGAATTTTAAATTATGTACTTTTTGATCAAAAATTGAATCAAAATATATATATATGGATTTTGAACAAAATCTTTTCATTAATACCCTTGGCGTTCGTATGTCATTTGAAAAAGCATTTAAACTGCTGCAAAATGACACCTCTCCCAGCGTTCTAGCTGAATTAGGACAGCTTCCAGAGCAATTTAAAAAATACACGTTCACACTTTTTTCGCGAGTTTTTAAAAACTTTACATAGCCATATATCGGAAACGGTGTGAGATAAAAATTTAAAAATTGGTATTTTTCTTAGTCTTAGTACATAGTATAAGTATATCAAATTTTAAGAAAATCTGAGGTGGTGTGGTAAAATGGGTGTGTTGAGTTGACATGGACTGACCCGTATATAATCCAAGGATGTTAGGGCACAATCACTCGGATCTAAGACGAACGTGAGTCCGAACTGCAGCACTTCTGGTATCCTGTTTCTGGGGATTATTATCTGCTTCCGGTCTTCCCCCCTTCTGGAGCCTCCAGAGCACGCTTTAGAAGTCCGTCACTTAAGATGATGGAATTCCATTGGGCCCATTACAATTTTACATTCGGCAAATATTGGGCGACTTCCTGCAACGTTGGTTTGCGGTTTTTTCGGTATTTTCGTAACCCGATTCTTTAAGCATACTGAAATACTTGTTTTGGCATTTTCGTGATTATCTAGTTAATTTACTTACTTTATAGAAATTAGGACTCTACGTTGTGTTTTTACGTACATTGATAATAACGTTTGAAATTGGTCAAACACAAGTATTTCATTTAAAACCCCTGATTTAATTTAAGCAAAGATAATGGGGTGGCCCGTTGAGTCAGAGCACAGAGAAAAGGGACCATGAAAACCCTGTCGACTTAAATATATATATTGATATATCAAATAAAAATAAAATACAAAACAAAACAAAGTCATATGGGACATAATCAAAAGAATACCATATAAATAATAAGTGAATAAAATAACATGAAAAGCAGATAAACATATTTCATATGGTTTGGGTGTTTTTATCAATATCTAAAACATTTTATACTCAGGTAAAGTAGTTATAAGAGATCGTCATTGTATGACGAAGATTTGTACTATTTGTTTGCCTTACCACGCATCTTCGAACTATTGAACAAGGATACGATTTTATATAAATAAACTGTATGTTTGGGTTTACAGTATATATTTTATAATATACTTCCCAAGTAGCAAAATAGGTTTTTTAAGGTATACAAAGCCTCCATAAAACTACTCTTAAGTGTAATTTGCATTGGTTAGTTAAAACATATTTGCTTTAAAAGCAGCTATACAGCTTCGATAAAACCATCATAGGGCTAAAAAGTAGACTCCTTAGGAGCAATTTGTATGTCAGCCACAAAGCAACTTTGCTTTATTGTATTACTCCAAAGGCACACGTTACAGCAGCCTTAAAACCTACCTTACAGCTGTCATAAAACATATGCTAAGTGCAATAGGTTTCAAAGAGGTAGACTAAGTGTGCTATTGTCGTAAACACATTTTAGCTGAAAATTTCTACTTATTGTTGTACTTTGTAAATTCCATATTGCTTTAATCAAATACTTGTTTGGTATAATGTTGCTTTATAAAGCATTAATGAATTCATATATGAATCACAAGCTTAGGCCATTATTGATTTTAAAATCTTAATAACAATTTTTTTTTGTCAACCTATAACTTTCGGATGCAAAAATCATAAACAAATACCACTTTACTGATAAAAGTTGATTGCCGAGACACAAAACGTATGATGCCCACTGAACAATTTGAAAGGCTTTGGCTAAATTACGTACCCGATCTACATTCCATTTTTTCAGCCATCTCTTATCGAAAAAATATTCTCTAGCATTAACATGCTCGTAAAAACCAAATTTTTTGAAATTTTCTGAAAAATATTATCTATTCGTAATTTATATTAAAATTATTTTATCATTGCGGAGCAATATTTTTTAATTTAAATGGCGGTTTCAGTTGCAAACAACTGCTAAAAAGTTTAATTGCTTTAAAAAGTTTTTACAACTATTTGTTAAAAATAATAAGCCCTATGACTGCATTTTTCAAGACAATCATAAAACCCATTGGAATTTTGTCAAAGAATTTTAAAACACCTTTGCAGTAAAAGCTGACATATGGAGCCATAACTCCAGAACGGTAAAAAATAAAAATACGCTTAATATCTCAAAAGAAAACTAATGTTGGTCTACAAAATTTGTAATCTATACATAATTGTTGTTATTTTAAGTAAAACCGAGTTACAACAGCCTTTAGCCCAAAAACATGACCTGGTACCACTAGAAGCATACTTCGTATATTTTGTTATTAAGTGATAAATTTTGCTTTTTTTGGTATATTTTTGAGTTTAAAGTAGAAGTATAATAAAAAAACAAGTAATACTGATAAGTCTAATTACATTTTTTGTTTTAAAATATAAAAATTAGGTATATAATACATACAAAACAGACACAGAAAAGATACAGACGTAGGACCTACATGAGTTGATTTTACATAGTTATCTGGGCCCAGATAACAATTATGACATCATTTAAGACATCAACGTGAAATCATTGCTGATTCATTCAGTGATGTCACTGAGGTACGCATATGAGCAACATGATATCCTTAATGATATCATTGCTGATTCATTCAGTTATGTCACTGTGGCACGCATAAGTGTTGCACTTTTGATGAGCAACGTGAAATCCTTAATGAGTCACACGATGAATTCATTATGAAATCAAAGGGATGTCATTAATGATTTTACTTAAGGGACTAAAAATGCTAAAATTAATTAAAATAAATATTTATTTTCTTAAATAAAATAAAAAATATTTAAAACATGTTTTAATAAAATTTAAAAAAGTAACTTGCATCTAATTATTAATTTATACATGTATATATGTACCTAGCACGTGCCAAGTATAATTCATAAATTAATTATAAAAATATATTTAAAAATACGATAATTTTTAAGCCTTGGTAAGATAAATCCATTCCCAAAACTTGGCAACACTTATGGTATATACTATGCAGAGCTGTACAAGAAAAAAGTACTCGAGTAAAAGTACAAGTAATTCACTTGAGTACAAAGTACAAAAAAATCCAAAAGTACTCACGAGTACAAGTACAAAGTACTTTTTCCAAAAACTCTTAAAATGTAATTTAGGTTTCAGTATCTAGCAAAAAAAGTTGTTAAAAGTTAAACATAACAAAATATCAGGTTTAGAGCCCACTAGTGGGGTTGTACCAGTCCGAGTTAACTCGTGTGTTTATTAAACTAAGATTAAAAATAACTCTGGATTATTCCAGTTACTTGTTGTACAAAACCATTGCAACACTGGCTTAGTTAATCCCTCGTTAATCCTAAATATAGCATTGTTGGTAGAACTGGTTTGTTTATAATTAATTTATAATTTATTATTTACCATTTTTATTAAAAAAGATTACAATAACCGTGCAAAGTGCACTGCAAGCATGCCATTATTGGCTTATACCAAAACCTAAACAAAAAAAACCTTCTTTTCAAAGCTTCAAAAGTTTTGACTTTGTATTTAGGCCTGTTCAACTTGTGTGTTCAGCAGGGTCTATAGGGTTTGCAAGGGAAGTTATAAAATAACTTTTTACTGCATAGCCACTGTCTCCGACGATTGGGCTTTCTTTTCCAAATTCTTTATTTTCAAGCCTTACTTTTGGACGAGAATTGTTGAAAATGGTTGAATCGTTAGTGGATCCGTGCCAGCGACACACAATATTCCTGAAAAGAAGCTAACTGTCACATAGGACTTGTAAATTGCATGAGAATAAAACCTTCTGGTTAAGGAATATTTGGCATCTTCACCATTTCTATGAACTCCGGGCGCAACTCGGCAATAGCGGTTAATACGGTAGTTATAGCTCTGGATACAGTAACCTTATCACATCCACTTAGTTCGCCCAACTACTTTTGACATTTAATTTCATTTTAAAATGAATTGTTTTTTTTACGTATATACCGGGTGTATCTGAGAATAGGCGCACCCCTGTAACTTTTTTATTTATAAAGATAGACACATGAAATTTAGCATGGTTAATTAGGATATAAAATGCCACATAAGAGTAAAAAATGAATTTTTGAACTTCCGGTTTCGCCGGAAATTATACCAACTTTTGATTTTTAAATGGAATGCCCTATATATTTTTACATATTCGGAATCCTGAGGAAATTCTGAGTCAGACAGCATCCTCAAATTGACCTTTTGACGTTTCGTCATCAGAAAATGTATCATCATAAAGATCAATCTAGAATGATTTGAACTATCTTATTTTCTTCTAATGGATTCACACAATGCCTGAAAATGGAACTTTCCTTAGAAAGTTGTTATTCAGATAGTCCCAGCAGTCTAAACTTGTCAAAATTCGTTTTTCTCAAATAGTTCAAAGCACTCTAGATTGATAGATACATTACAAAAATGGCAAAAAAATAAACTGAACGTGATTTTAAAAGAAAATTATTTGTATATGTAAAAGTCTAATCTTCGTTACCACAAAGGCATGTGGCGGGCCATATATCACGGGAACGATATTAATGATATTGGTTCTGCACATAAAAGAACCAACAAGGTGGTACAGGAAAAGGTCGTTAAAATCGTAAACCTAGTATAATCAGAAAGGCCGAGACATTCTCATCGCAGTTTAGTTCTTGATGAAACCACAATCAATTTTGAGAGGGCAAATATATAGGGTTAAAGTGATGCTTTTCATGCATTACTGTGTTGTTGATGAGAAGGACGACAAAAATATATATCCCAATAATTTTCTATTTATTATTTAATTCACACCCTGTCGTCAATAATTGTGTTTAAACATATATCAGATCATTTATTTTTTAACTAAAGAAATCCCTGTTCAAAAAATCATAATGCTCTTAAATACAAGGGCATCCAAAAGAGTTTAAACTGTGATTGATCTTAATTATAAATTAAGAGTCAATTCACTTTTTAATACCATTTAGAATCCTTGGATTTTTTTTTAACACCCCATATAAGAACTTTTTTAGTACAAAGTATTCATATATTTTTTTAATTTAAATTTTAAAATTATCATAAATAAATATAGATTGTTTTTATAATTTATTTTAATAAAAACTTAAATAAAATGTTTGATTATTTTAATTCACCACATGCATCAATTGTCACTGTTTGTGTTGGTGCCCCTCCTTTAGTTCCACATTTCTCCATCCTTCTTACCACATCCATTCCACTAATAACATGTCCAAAAACAACATGCTTATTATCTAACCATTCAGTTTTTGATGTGCATATAAAAAATTGGGAACCATTTGAATTTTGACCAGAGTTGGCCATTGATAAAGTACCTGGTCCAACATGTTTTAAGTCAAAATTTTCATCAGCAAATTTTCTACCATAAATTGATTTTCCGCCTGTTCCATTTTGATTTGTAAAATCACCACCCTGGCACATCTAAAACAAAATTAATAAAATACAGGGTGTTAAGAAAATAGTTGCCATAACAGGTTTCTGTTTCCACTTTGTTTTTAATTTTATTGGGTTATGCATTTTTTTAAAAGTACCTACCATTTTTAATAAAATTTAAAAAATGCTTAAAATCGTCTTAAAAAGGCGTAAGACGAAGAAATTTGCTGTAGGTATTCTATTTGTTTTTCTTACCAAATATTTTGGGACCGGGCGTTTTTAAAACTTTTTTTTCCATGCAGCGCGTACTTTACTTACTGTTGGTATAAGAAATCACGTGGTCATACTCATTTAGTAAAGTTGGCTGATTTTTGGGCATTTTTTTTAAATATGAATATATGGCCTAAGCCAGTGCCGGCGTGAGGCCCCCTCGGCGTCTCGATGAAATTATTGTACATTTTGGCAACATGGCTACCTGTAAGGGCCGCGCGACAACATACAGTTGATTTTTTTTTATTAAGTTGGTAGCTTAGGGGTCGTCCATAAAGGACGTCAAGCTTTTTTAGAAAATTTATTTTTCTTCTTTCTCTTCTTTCTTTTCAGATGAAAGAATTATTCCAGTCATATCCAGATTAACTTCTTCGAGCCAGTCTACTTGATCGCCTGTCAAAATCGCCATCATTTCTCGTTGCCGCTTTGCTGCTTCTCTTATTGGTCGGATTTTTTATTTTTTCATCCTTCGATTTTTCCTTGTGTAAAACTCGGTGTTTTTGAAGCATTACTTTTGAAGCAAAGTACATGTGGCATGTTTTACAAATTCTGGCTTCTAAATCTGTCTGTACTGACGAACAAAATGAATCATAAGGAACAAGAGAGGGCTCAGCAGATTTTGGTAACATATTTTGTACATTAATTGTAAATTAACTGAGACTTTTTGAAATAAACAGCGATGGGAATTTAGCAGTTGAACTGCCTCTTAATTTGGTCCGCGAAGGAACTTGTAATCCATATTCTGTTTGTTCAATAGGAATGGAGGGGGCAGAAATCGTTCCGACAAAATATTGAAAATTGAGCTTCTGGGGCACGTTGGTACATTTGGCGTTTTCAACTTAAAAAATATATATTATCTTCCAAACATTTTTTTTTTAAATAGTGATATTATTAGCTTTACTTTGCAAGAAAAATTAAAATTGCGTATGTAGCCGTTGTGAAGATATACACTTAAATGTATTTTTTTATAAATTAATTTGCAACATTAAGCTTAGTCTCTGTGTATCGCCTCTTTTATTGAGGTTTTTTGGACATTTTCCTATTTCAATGGCTTCACGAATGGTACGTTTGGTTCTGTATTCGATGCTAGCCAAGACCCTTGTTTTTTCAAAGTCAATTTCCCAATATCGCCAGCAATAGCCAACTTATTCATGGAAGACATAGAAGTACGAGCAATCGAAACGGCAACACTAAAATCAAAGTTATGGTTACGGTACGTAAAAGACACATTTGTCATCTGGACCCACGGAGAAGAGAAACTGAAGAAATTCCTGGACCAGAATTCCCAAAAAGATTAAGTTCACAATGGAAACCGAGAAAGAACACCAATTACCTTTTCTGGATGTCTTCATAATCAAGATAAATAATGGCACACGCCCAGTCTCACCACCACCCGTCACAACTGCAGTCAATCATTAAGACACTTGTCACGCGAAAGGCTGGCGGATGATGACCACAAGAAACAAGAAGACCTGAAATTCCAAACGACGCTACAGCAAAACGGATTCTCCAAAACCATCATCAAAAAGGCTCTTAGACCACGACGCCGGTTAAATACCACAGAGGACGAGAACAACAAACCAACTTCGAAGGCCTTCCTTCCCTACGTGAAAGGGACAACCGAGAGCAAAGTTCTCAAAAAACATAACATTTACCGCCACAAGAAAGATCGGTCAAATACTTCCAACCGCCAAACCAAAATAGAGTTAGAGGCACAAGGGGTGTACGAAACTCCTTGTAATAATTGTGACGGAAGCTACGTTGGATAGACCAATAGACGTATCAACGTTAGACGTGAAGAACATCGAAACGCAGTCTTAAAACATCTTTCTTAGCTGAACACGTCCGAAAAACTTCCCATGAAATTGACTTTGAAAAAACAAGGGTCTTGGCTAGCATCGAACACAGGACCAAGAAACCTCAGCACAAGAGACGATACACATAGACTACCAACTGCATAAAAACCAGCTCTTACAACCACCAAAACGCCACGCAAATTAACGATATCAATGTTCTGCTTTAGGTTTTCACGGGCGTTATATGTATTGATGGTTTTCCGGCATCTGTTCTGTGTTGTCGGTTTATGGTTCTTAAAAGAACCGTATGTCTGACGACGTTTCGGTACAATCTCATGTACCCTCTTATCTGCTGGGCTGCTGCTGTTGCTCTGCTGCTTTAGATTTCCATTGGCGTTATACGTATGAACTTGCAGCAGAGCAGCAACAGCAGCCCAGCAGATAAGACCTGAAGATGGTACATGAGATTGTACCGAAACGTCGTCAGACATACGGTTCTTTTAAGAACCAAAAACTGACAACTCGGAGCAGATCCCGGAAAAACATCAATATATATATATATATATATATATATATATATATATAAATATATATATAGCGAATTGCTGTGGTCATTTTCACTAGAACACTTGTTAAGCTTATTGTTGCGCATTAATTTATAAAAAAAAATACATTTAAGTGTATATCTCCACAACGGCTACATACGCGATTTTAATTTTTCTTACAAAGTAAAGCTAATAATATCACTATTTAAAAAAAAAATGTTTGGAAGATTATATATTTTTTAACACGTTGATGGACACAGACAAATTTTTGGCGGGACCTGCTGCATCACTTGAATAATTCATATACCTTTTTGCTAGAAAATTGCGACTGCTATAGCCGTCGTGTCATATTGGGCCCGACGGCATTTGCAGTTCTGTCCATGAACGTGTTAAGTTGAAAACGCCAAATGTACCAACGTGGGGGATCAAACAGCAACATGAATCATCATATTGGCTTGTTCTGACATGCTGCGCTGCCCATTTCAAATCTTTTTGGAAAATTTACCAATTTTACCTGTAATTATTAAATAAATCTATCTACTTATACAAAATTTGTATGAAAAATATTTAATTTTTGAGAAAATAAATTCATCTTATAATAAGTAAAAAGACGAATTTCGGACGTCACCTTCTCACGAACTGCTAGACCCCTCCCCCCTCCTAGGGCGTGACGTCCTTTATGGACGACCCCTTATGCCAGTTTGATTTAGTATTTTTAGTATTTAAAAAATGGTACTTCTGCTGAAGACCTTTTAATTATAATTAATTACTCTGAGACAGTAATATTTATTATTGATAATTTACTTGTTAATTATTATAATAACGATATAAAAAGATAACTATGCGAAAAATAATATCAGATTCTGAAGTAAACAAACTTTTAAGGGCAAAACTTCATTTTAATGAAGTGATGCCAAATGCCTCAATGGCAAAAAAAGTACATCGCCATATGGACATTTTTGGAGTAAAAAAGTAACGTTTTTGGTTTTACAAATATTAAATCATACATTAAATACCCATTCACCATTGGAGTCCAATGACTGGACAACATTCAGGTGTGTTCACATAAAATTTTAATTTCTTTTACATAAATTCTTTTCAAAGCGAAGTTTATTATCCGCTACGGCTCTCCTGGGCCGTAGTCACCTATATTTAACTACTGATCAATGAACAATTAAAAAAAATAAGATACAGAAGAGCAAATCACTTAATAGAGCATTTGTTTTTTACATATTTAAAATTATTTAAAAAAAAACCCAGGTCCTAGACGTCTGGCAAATGTTATTTTAGTATCAATATCGTCAATTTAATATAAAACCTAAATGGCAGACACGAGCAAATGACTTAGGTTAGGTTTTATTTTTTACAATTTTGAAAATTATTAAAAAAAAAGCAGCGATACCTAAGCCTGCCACCTTATTTACTCAGTTCACAAGCATCAAAACTCTATATATAACATATCATTCCCAACGCAAATCATATACCGAAATTGTCACCAGCTCCCTAAAGTCCATGTCTGACGGTGCAACTTCTCGCCGCGATTTTTTGGTGGTCACACGATGCAACTAATCAGCTGATCTAACCTGTCTCAAATATAACATGTTCTATTTTCATGCAATAAAATCGCCGCGACTTAGTAACTTTTTTAGGGATTTACGAATTTTCACTAAATTTTTTGGTTGGTACTCAATATTTATCAGCTGTGGAATGAGAGATGTGATTTGCGTGTGCTTTAATCTGAGTGTTTTTATTTTTACACCACAAAATACTTATAACTTTAAAAGAAAAACAAAATCGATTTAAATAAACATTAAATTTGTTTAGGTATTTTTATTTTTCAACTAAGTAATTTTTGGTTATGTTGGCAATCCTAGTAGAAAATAACGTCAGTTTGGTTGCACCGTGTGAGAAAGTCGCTGCCAGCGTTGCCAACTAGCGTTTTGAGGTAACCATTTGAGACATTTTTTTATGATTTGCGACGTGTCTCAAACCTAGCGTTTTTCACATTGTGTTGGCGACATTTTTGGAGACATTTTAACATTGATAATGAAATTTGTTTTTAAACAAAACAAAATAATTTCTAGTTTAAAAAATTTCAAATTTAAATTTATTACGTTGGCATGGCCAATTTGGCAACGACGCATCCGTACGTCATCCGTCAAATGTCAAAAACTGAAAAAATAGCCGGGCAATTGTCAAATCCCATTATTTATTTATTCTTTTATAATCTGTGTTATGGAAAATCCTAAGGGATTTTGGCACTTTGCAGGCTTATATTAATGACGATGCAAAATCGACTGAATTTCTTGAAAAATTCGAGGAAAATTTATTAATAAACTAATTTTTTTTTTAAAAATTTATTTACCTACCTTAAGAATTATTTATTTTTATATATTTTATTTATTTAAAGCCGAGTTCATATAGATGCGAATTTACG